TTTAGGCATACACACAAAAAAGACCTGAAAACTACAGAAAAAAATGATTGACATTTTCTGCTCCATAAAAAGTAAAATATTCTGTATGAAAAACCCCCACTCCATATGCAAAACAAAAAGATAAAAGGCAAAATGGGCAAAAATATACCACATATAATAGGATTGTTAGCCAGCATTTATAAAGGACTCCTACAAATCAATAAGGAAATAAAGATTCAATTAAAAAAAGACCTGGTAATTTATAAGACAGATATAAATGGGCAATAATTATATAACAATATGTTCAACCTTCCTGCTTATCAAATAAACACAAATTTAATTGAGACTTTTTGTAGATTAGCAATGATTAAAATAATAACACTTTACTTTTCTAGCATCCTTTAGACCTTTAATAGCATTTCACACTGCTGACCAACCCTCTGGCTCAGAGCACTCTCTTCCATTTGGATTTCGTTCCTCTGATTTGATGCTTAGCTCTCTGGTGGCTCCGTCTTTGCAGCTCTTTAGGGACCCTGCCACGTAGTCAGCAAGTGCTGTGCTTCTCACTGAACATGTCCTCCTAGGGCTGACTTCATTAGTCCTATCCCTTGCAAATATCTCTTGAGCTTCAGTCAATACATCTAACAGCTTACTGTTCATTTCTACATGGAAGTCTCGTAGGCACTGCAAGCTCAGCACGTCAAAACTGAATGCATCATTCCCCCCAAACAAGCTTCTCTTCCCACCTTCATTTCCTCTGTTAATGACAGAACATCCATACAATTGTCTACACCAAGAACCTGGGTGCCAGCCTTGATGCTTTTCATTCCATCACCCATCAATTCAGGGACTGATAACTGTTCACATCAAAATATTTTCTCCATCCCCATGGCCTCAGCCAAGTCATCCCATCCTCCACCACATCCCCTTATCACAGCTAGAATGTTCACCGAAAAGGCAAATCTACTCACATTCTATTCCCTTTCTCAGAGTCCTTCTTTCCAAGTTCTTTAACAAGGTTGAGAGGGCTCTCCATGATCTGGCTCCTGCTTCTCTCTCCAGCCTCATTTCTTTTTACTTCCCTACCACCACCATCATGCTCCACTCTCCAGCAACTCTGGACTTTCTTTGGTCCTAAAATGTCCAATGTATTATTCTCTTGGCTTTGCCTGGAACCTGAAAACCATTTTCTGAGCCCCCACCCTTTATATGTAATTCCACCCTCACCAACTGGAAACAGTGAACTTTTACATTTTTCTGGCCTTAGCTATTTGAGAGGAGTGCCTGTTTTTTTGTTTCAGAGTTGTGTCCTTAGCACCTAGTACAGAACCTTAGCATCTAGTATGGCCCATGGCAGGTGAGTAATGGCTGAACACAAGTGAATGAGCATTGTGTCAAAACCCACGGCACTGCATGAGGCACTCTGGCATTACGAAAGGGGTGACGAATCTTTAAAAGTCTTAGTGTCACAGACCAGAGTAGGCTAAACCGGTTCCCCTTATTGCTAAAACATAACATTCTCCCAACTGCCTGCTCACATAATTAAAAAATAAAAATATCTAGCCCGGCTGGTGTGGCTCAGAGGTTGAGGGTCGACCTAGGATCCAGGCGATCAGGGTTCAATTCCTGGTCAAGGCACATGCCCGGGTTGTGGGCTCGGTCTCCAGTCGGGGGCATGCAGGAGGCAGCCGATCAATGACTCTCATCATTGATGTTTCTGTCTCTCTCTCTTCCTCTCTCTGAAATCAATAAAGATATATTTAAAAAAGATTTATCTAAGTCAGTCCTTAGATTCACCCTCTACTCTTTTTTTTTCCCCACTCTCAAGCCCAGCAAAAACGGGTCAGAAATGTGGGCATCTGGTACGTACTCAAAATTCTTTATGTCCAAAAACAAATTAAAAATCTTGCGCTGGGAAACTTATTTTCTCTTCTTGGGCCTGTACTGGTTAATGGCATCACCAATCGTCCACCTTGCAAAAGTAGGAAGCACTCATCTCTCTTTCTCAACCTTCTATCTAAGCAGCAAGTACGTCGCAGTCTCTGTGGCCCAGATATTTATTCCTTCTTCTCTCACGTCCATGAAAACCACCGATTTCATTCTCATAACGTTCTCCCCCGTAACATACTCCTACTGGTCTCTTTTCATTTAATCTCTCTCTTCCAGCCTATCCGTGCACTAGCGCTGCCAATCTGATCGTGCCAGTGCCAAACCGAGAAGCTCTGAGGGCCCCCACCGTCCCTAGAGGGTGAAGCCCAAGGCGCCTTAGCAGGGCCCCAGCCTCTGGACCTCACCTCCCACCCTCCTCGCCTCCGGCTCTTGTGCTCAGCCGCGCTAAATTTCTGCTATTCTCTGAAACTGTCACACCAGTCTGTATCCAGTGTCTGGGCATATGATCTTATTTCCCTGTGTACAAGGCCCTATTTTTCTCTAGTCATTACTTCTGGAAGCAGTTCAAATTTTACTTCCTGTGAAAGCCCTCCCTAGGCACTCCAGCTAAGCTACTGACTCCCAACTGTGCATTCCTAGCACTTTGCACATTTTTCTAGTGAAACACTTATCACATTCTTCGTAATGATTTATGTACATGCTGTTGTGGAGAATGGTAACAGTTCATGAAAACCTTTGTTAAGATAATTGTAACCAAGCACATGGATGCCGCACACACTACATTTCCCAGCATTCCCTACAGGCAGGTGTGGCATTTCACTAAGTCCTTTCCAATGCAGCAAGTGTAAAATTTATTCGTGCCTTAAAAAAAGGGTATGACTCCTCTGTGTTCTTATCGTTCTCTTCCTGTGATCCAGCACACTGATGAACCCGCAACCCAGCGGCTGTCATGCCGATGACACCACCTCCTGGGTGACAGCAGAGAAAGAGGAGGGAAGGACCTGGCCCCTGAACCTGGCCGGACAGGGCGGAGCTGTCTCCCTCTGCACAGTCCACCTTGGGCTGTTATGTGAGAGAGAAATAAACAGCTATATCCCGTGTATATCTGCGGTCTTTTTGTTAGAGCAGTTTAGCTTTACCTTAGCTAATCCAGGCCTTTTTCTGCTTTTGGTTTGTTTGTACCTTAAGAGCAAAAGCTGGCTGATGTTCCTCTGCGTGCCCTGTGACAGCAAACAGTACCTAAGTGAATGCTAGTGGAATGGATGCGAGGAGATTGTTTTCTAGTCCCAACTTCTCTGCCTTCTCTATGAACCTCTCCAGTGCCCTGTGTCTTAAAGCTTTTCTTGGTCTAACTGCACTATCTGGACTTGCAGCCATCTCCATGTTTGGAATCTTACGTGAAACTCCACGACAACTGCCTGTCTTGTGTCCCATTCTTTGAGTGATTCCCCTAAATAAGTGACCTACCGGAAGAAAAAACTTAAGATGACTCTCGTGGCCAAGTCACATGGATTCTGTGACTGTAGGTCACTGGATTCCTTCCCCACTCTTCCCTTTCACTCTCATCACCTGCATTTAGACTTATCACCTTTGCAGGGACTTTAATAATCACTTTTGAATGGAATTTGCCCTGTCTTTAGCCTTTCCTTCTCAATATATTTTACTCACAGCTGCTAGGTCCGTCTTTCTGAAAGACAGCTTTGATAGTCCATTTCCTCCCTCAGAAACCTCTGGCCCCAGGGTTTACAGGGAACCACCCCCTCCTGAGCCTATCATTTAATGCTCTCGCAAAACTCTCCTTTCCTTACTCTGCATTCACACTCATGACGCATCTACCAAGTGCCCTCCTGCTCTCGTCAATGCTTACGTTAACATGCCCACACTCTCAGGCCCGTGTTCATGTAGACAATCTTAGTTAAAATATTCTTCTTCCATTCTATGGATCTTCAAATCCTGCCCATCTCTCAAGGTTCAACTGAATGCACCCCCCTCCTCAATTACTGAACGTCTCGGGCCATACAACCCAATAGAATCACAGCTTCTTCCAAATTTCTCCATTACTTATGTCGCTGTCTCCCCTGTGACCCTTATTCCTTTATTCTTGAATCATTACATTTATAAATTTTATCTTCTTTCTACTGAGAGCAGAACATGCTGCGAACGCTCAATAAATATTGCTGCATGGATGGGGATGCTATTATTTCAACACGTCACTCACTCTAGATGTTTATATTTTACCACTGGTCATGGAGAGGCTAATGTGCGGAACGTGGTGGTGAGGGAGCGTGGGAAATACTAAGCAACAATTGCTTTGGTGGAAAAATACAAATAAAAAATACTGCAATGTGGGCCAGGCACACAGTGATCTCTTCGTTACTTTCTTATTTGGTTAGATCTTCTTTTAGGTTGAGAAAAAGGGTAAAGCAGCTCTGCTCACACATTTATTTAGCTTTTCTCGTCTTCATACTTGTTCTTCTCAGCTCCTATACTGTGAGGCAGCTCCGCCTCGTCCGTCCTGCTGACCACGGCTTCTCCCATTCGTTTCTTCTTCCCTTTGGGTTTTGATACTTTCTATACAGGGTGGAGTAAGAGTTGGTTTACAGTTGTGAGTGCGCAAGACACAGTTTCTTCTTGTATTATTATTTATTAATTATATTATTGTCCATACGAAATCTGTAAAACCACTTTTCCCCCACCCTGTAGATCTCTCCCCTTTACAAACACTTGGGAGTTACCTTGCTCTGGTAGATGGCACCTGGCTTTCCTGCCCATCCGAGTGACCAACCACGTACCTTTAAAACTCTCCTTCTTATTAACCAAGCTTAGTTAAATCATTTTGTACCATTATTTAAGTAGCTAAATAACCCTACAAACAGCAAGCCGAATGAAAACCTCAGCTCACATAGGACACTGAGCCTCTGTATTTTTCAGTGCGTTTCCTCATACGCAACTCCACTTCCCTCACATACTACTCCTTTCTGCTGTCTATAGAATTAACTGGTTCAATTTGTGCTTCTGTGATGCCTTCATAATGGATTCAAATAATTAACCACCAAGTGAAAGTTTAATGCTAATGAAAAAATTGTTAACAAAAAGAACGCAGGGAATTAACTTATAACTCACATTGCTTCTTACCCCTTCAGCACACCACATTTTCCCTGCTGATGCTGGCTCAATGTGGCATTTTGTGCTGTAACATGAGAAAAAGTAAACTTTTTATTAAAATAAAACCCCTACTAAGCTGGTAGAATACAACACATTTTAACACAGATAGTACTTTAATTACTCTCAATCAAAACCTCACAGAGATTCTGCATTCATGTTCATGAAAGTTCATACTCACACATTTAAAGAAGCTGTTTGCTTCAGGGCTTAACCATTTAAAACTGCCTCTAGCACTAGGATCCCATGTGGAAGACATAATCTCAGATATGTATTATTTTATTTTAAAAAACTTGCAATACATTTCTGAGTGACTCTTGAGGGATATTTTGGTGAAGATGATTTTCAGAATTTGGAGGCTGAGGGAGGTGAAGCTGGTATGTTTGGCACCGTCCAAAACCATACCCTGACTGATCTCAAGATGGAACTCAAGGTTTCTTGTTTCTAATTTTGTTGATTTTCCTTGAATCATAATTTTGCTTTCAGTTATTTCCAAATTGGCAGCCCCGATGCACTGAATTTATTAATTAATTCAACAGACGTTGCTAAAGTGCCTAGTGCCTGCCTACTCTGTGCCAGGCACTGTTCCAGATGCTGGAGATATAGCTGAGCAAAACCAACAGCGCTCACACTTCAGCGGCGGGCAGGGGAGGCCGAAGACAAATCATAAACACAACAAATCACGCAAATACTCAGAGGGCTGGACTGTTGTCTTACATACTACAGGGAAAAAAAAAAGCAGAACAGAGAAGAGGCAGATGCAATTATAAACAAGGTAGTTGGGACAGGAGTCACTGAGTAGGTGACAGGTGAATAACGATCTGAGGAAATGAGGGGTGAGCCCTGTGGGTATCAAAGGGTGGAGCATCCCAGGCAGAGGCCGGTGAAAGGAAGCTGAAATAAATCATTCATTGCACGCCAGTCCCTGTGGAACCCGGGCAATAACTAGTCAAAGCAAATCCCTATGAATGAATGCTCTAATATCTGTGGTGCATCTTCTATTATATTCTATTTAGCACTGCTCTAATAATTACTTGTAGAGTACAAGCTATACGCTAGGCACTGAAGCAAAATGATGAAGGCAGACATTCTTCCATCCTCACGAAGCTTACAGTTTAATGGAAGTGGGCCAGACAAGTAAATACACACTATACAGCAATACACACAGTGGCAGGGGTGGTGGAGGGTGCCGTGGGACAGGGGACAGAAGCACCTCGCCCAGGTTACAGAAGATGGGCTTTTAGAGGGAAAACTACCGAAGATTAAAGCGTTTCATTTCTGCTCCCGACAGCGTAGACATCAGAACAGATTGTATGTAAGCTCAAGTAACAAATGCGGCACATGTGTTTTAGCCTCAGCGCCCTCGGAGGTGAGCCTCATTATCACCGGCAGGCTATAGGGGAAGGGACCGAAGCACAGAGGCCCGCGGGGACGGGAAGGGCAGGCTAAGGACAGGCACGCAGGCCGCAGGGTTCCCGAGCCCCTGCTCTCAACCACCACCCTGCGCTCCCTGAGCAGCACGCCTGCATCACAGTTTGTTAATAAATAAAGACGTCTGGGTAGTTTCCAGCTGCTTACAGGTGAGGCTTGTTGTGAACTGTCTGAATAGTTGGATTCTAAAATGAGTTTTTATCAGCATGACTTAGAATTCAGAAAGTCTGTTTTGTTTAAAAATTAAAATCAAACCATCTTGCTCATACTGAGGTATGGCCTTCTGACACTGGTGTTCACCAGCCCATTCATATGACAAGTCTGCACTGGGAGCAGCTCTTTGGAATCCTCTCTCCCCGCCTCTGACATTCTCAAACGGAGAACAGCCTCTTTTAATTTGAGAGCTTTCTATTGAATGCAACAGACTTTGTCAATGTCCAAGGTCCATAAAAAATTTTTAAAATTTGTCCTCTAGAGCCCCAGTTCTGCTCTCAGATACTACCTTCAGAGAGAAGTTGGCTTGGGTTTGCTTAGGGATGCTCTGGACCAAATCACAAATTACATGTCTTCTTCCAGGCTACCAGAGAGCTGCGAGATGGGAACCATCCTGAGTAGAGATTGCTCTGGAGACCTAGGTGGCAGATCTAGATGAGCTCCGAGCAGAGGCAGGCGTGGCTGTGGGAGTGGGAGTGGGAGTGGGAGTGGGCTGTGGAGCCTTGCAGAACTAGTGTTTGCTCTGCTGGGTTTCTGAGAGCTGATGATTTCCCATTTTCATCATGCCCAGCTCCCTGACCAGTCAGACAACTGGAGAGTCTAACTGGGGATCGCGCAAATTCTCTCTGTTGAAGAAACAACATTCTCTGACAATGATAAGTGACACAAATTCCAGCTGGAATTCTTAGAACGACATAAACAATTGGAAGAACAACTATATATGAAAATGTGGAAATAGCAAGCTAGGGAATTAGAATCTGATCATTTTCAAGACCGTGGATACTTGTCTAATTATGCCCACAGCAGAAGGCCATGGGCAACTGAGCAAGGGCTGTATATATCTGTACCGTGTAACCTGGTTATTTTCAGGTGTAACATATATAACATTAGATAACGGTGAAGTGTCATGTCTCCTAAATCCCTCTGAAGGCTCAACCCACCAAAACAAATGTCCTAACAGCTTTGCTGATGTGGGAGACAGAGAACGTTTGAGGAAAGTCACATTTAGGTAAAATTTCAACTGAATTTGGAGGCTATGCTAGTTATAATGGTAAAGATAAAAAGAAGCCAGAATAGGATGAACTTTGGCAAAATGGTGGTCAAAGATTAACACTAAATTGAAATGGACTGACAATGCTATTATATAAGCATTACCACCTCACACAAGGAAAGAAACCATGATCAATTTTCTACTTATACAGAGAGCTCAGCTTATTATCAAAGGAAAACACTGACCGGGCTTACAGAGATGGCAACAAATTCAACAGTTGTGATGACTAATTTTCATTTTTATCTTTTAACTTAATCCCATGTTCCTCTCAAAGCAAATGTTTCCGTAATATATAAATAACAGTTTTTAAAATTAAGTAAATAAAAATATACAGCAAAACCTGTAACTGCTATTTCTGAGCACTATTATACTGGTCTGAATTTATATTGAGACATTAAAAAATGTTCTCTCTCTGTAAAACACGAGATTGCCTCTGAGAGATAAAGAATTCATAAATTTATAATGGTAACCAAATGAAAACACAGAGTAAACTTTCTAGATGAAAATATGGCTCTCCTAACGAAAGGCTAAAAAACAAGAGAAACGTAATGTGCATTAGATTCATATTGTGGGGAATGTGTTTGTATCTAATCTAATGCTTGCATACATTAGTGCAATGCTTTGAGAACAGAATAACAATTGTAATTTTGCTCTGAATCAAAATAACAGAATCTGTCATTTGACATGCTGTAGTGTTTGCACTTTCATTATTGTTCATAGAATAATTGTATGCTTCTTTTTACTGTTATTTTGTAGCAGTTTATCTCTTTAAAAATGCTACTCAAACTATCTTCAGCAGGAATTTCAAAGTCAAAATCAATCACTATGTTTCAGTAGACGTTTTCAATACGCCCATACATATGCTTATGCATATCTGTTTTGATAAAATGTGATTCTTTCATGCCTAGTATGTTATTTCACCACAATTTGCATTGTTATAATAGGTTATTGATTGATTTTCAGTTTAAGGGACTGAGGTAGTATTCAGTAATGACTGAGTGCTACCAAGTTTATTGCAAGTGCCCAAGGTTCACTCACCCCAAGCAATTTAGTCAATAACCAATTTTTATATTTCTATCTCCTTCAAAATTCTAAACCAATAATCCCTGTGTTTTTTAAAAATTATTTCAGTATCAGACTAACATTTCCCATGGAAATCAATATGGGTGCGATCCATTAGCCAAAAATCTGCAGTACTGCAATGCAAACATATTAAAAATATTGATCTTGCAAAGCTACTGATGTTTTGATTGACTTTAATGTTTGTAAGCAGCAATAACAGAATTTCAATGACTGAAACAAACTTTTGATTAAAATTATAGATTTTCTTGGGGGGGGTGTTGCTATTTTACTGGTTTAAAGCATATCACATGGCTTACTTGCCTGTCATAAATGAGTGCAATGGGATATATTTATCCAATCCCTTATTTGTAAATATTTTAGTCTATCATAGCTAACACATCTCTAATCTACTTTGAACTGCTCTGACATTTCAATTCCACTTCTTATTATATCACATAGTGAGGTGGAAATTTCAGACTGAGAATGGCAGGAATTCAGAGCTCTAATCCTTGTTTTACTATTATGCAACCTTTGGGAAGGCATTTAACTCTCAGTTTAAATTCCTCAAATGTAAAATGAAATTAAACCTTGGGAATCGATGAACATTTTTATTACATTCTGAGATCAATGGACAACAAAGACCATAACTTCTATATACAAAAGATTATTAGACCCAAAGATATATCCTTTAAAGAAAGCACACAATTTGCAGCCATTTAGTAATCACCTAGCAACGCTCTCATTTTATATATGAAGAGACTGAGACCTCACAAGGTCCAAGGACAGCCCAAGGAGCTTCTTAGAGACCTTTCCTGATAGCCTTATCTAAAATATGCTGGGAAAAGGGACATCTGTAATATTTTAAACAATAATAAAATTAAAAAAATAAATAAATAAAATATGCCACTGAGCTCCCGCCGAGCACTCTCTCACTGTTTAGCCTATTTAATTTTAATTTACTTGGATTACATTGGTTAATAAAATATTATAGGTTTCAAGTGTACAATTCCATAGTACGTCATCTGTACACTGTATTGTGTGTTCACCACCCAAAGTGTAGTCTCCTTCTGTCACCACTTACCGCCCTTTGCCCTCTTCTACCTGCCCATTCTCCTTCCCTCTGGAAATCACCATACTGATGTGTGTGTCTGGGAAATTATTATTATTTCTTTTACTTACCCCTAATACCACTATCTAAAACATTATATCTAGTTTTACTTACAACCTATTTTCTCTCCGAGAAGTTAAGGTCTATGCGACAGAACTTTTCT